GCCCCTAGTAGCGTCCTTGCTCCTAGTAGCGATGCCCTTTGTTCCTATTAGGTCCTTAGGTTGGAGGCCATTGCTATTGGATTCTTCTTAGCCCCTTCTAAGCCTCTTCTCGCTCCTGTGAGCTCCGAGCAATCGGGGATGGGATCCTTTGGATTGATTTCAAAGGCTTTGATGAGACCACCAGAGAGGCAAAGCAGTAGAGCCAGCGCTGCTGCAGCTCTCACCTGCCAAGTGAACTCATTCATTGTCTGATTCCATCCTCACAAACAATTTCATTATCTATGTCCTAAATCCTTGTCTTGAGAAAAATGATTTTGAGACACTGACGTGTGTCCAACAATCTGTCTCTGCCTGGTGGTACCATTCTGGGCGGTCGGTCTCCTTCATGTCGCTAATGACCAGGGCCCTTGGCAAAAAGAGACTAGCAATGGCTTCCAACCTAATTAATAGCAATGGCCTCTGACCTAATAGCAATGGCCTCCAACCTACTAGCGATGGTCTCCAACGTAACAGCGATGGCCTCCAAGCAAATAGCGATGGCCTCCATTCTAATGGCGATGGCCTCCAACCTAATGGCGATGGCCTCCAGCCTAATAGCGATGGCCTCCGACCTAATCGCGATGGCCTCCGACCTAATCGCGATGGCCTCCAACACCTAATAGCGATGGCCTCCAACACCTAATAGCGATGGCCTCCAACCTAATGGCGATGGCCTCCAGCCAAATAGCGATGGCCTCCAACCTAGTAGCGATGGCCTCCAACCTACCTTGTGCTCTAGAAAATGTTTCAAATGGTCAATGCATGTTTGCTGAGGTTGCTGCAGCAAGAATCCACCCAAAGCTCCTCCAAGATGCCTTGGAGTCAACCATATCCCTAAGGCAAGATTGTTCCGCAAAATATTCATGTCGGATAAGGCAGAGACCCGAAAATGTCCATGTTTGGTGTCATAGATGACATGGTGGTCACTGAAATCATCATGAAAACAATCCTGCATCCAGATAGTGATGTCAGCAGCGACAACAAGAACCAAATGACATAAACAGCATCAGATGCACTCTACCAATGTACAAAGAAAATGGAAGGTCTTCTTTTGTCTTGAAATTGTCCGTTTCGAATCCGGTCCAAATGACTGTTCGCTCACGTGCAGGTCCCAAGATCTCCCAAGAGAGCAAGATCTCGGCCTGAGAAATCGAAGTCTGACTAGTGGCGTCCTTGCTCCTAGTAGCGATGCCCTTTGCTCCTAGTAGCTTCTTGCTCCTAGTAGTAAGGCCGTAAGGCCAGGAGCCCCTAGTAGCGTCCTTGCTACTAGAAAGATTTGCGGAGCAATATCTCAGCTTCTGCCAGTCTGAGAAGTGAACCAACCACACCCCAATCAATCCAAACCTCAGAAAAAATCATCCTGCAAGTGTTTTCCACATCGGCTGGGCACTTTACTTCCATGCTGAAATTGACCGGCTAAGAAGTGAATTTCCAACAGAAATTGAATATTCATAGCACTTATGGCGCACCCTGCAGTTGAAGCTCCGACCTGACAACACGCAAAATCGGAGAAAATCCTAGACAAGCAAACTAAGAAAAGTGTGCTGCTTCCCATGAAACTAGCATTTTGTCATGTGTTTTTCCCCGAAAGTTGAAGTTCCTGCGAAGGGTTCTTAGTGAAATCCTGTCAACTCCATCTGCCTGCTTGTTTTCGCGTTAATTCCATCTGCCTTTCTCGTCTCCTCAACAACATCATCACCATCATCATCATCATCATCATCGTTGTCATCATCGTCGTCATCATCGTCGTCGGCATCATCATGCAGCATTATCAAATAGCAGAGATACAGGTGTATTGCCGGTGTGAGCAGAACTTCAACCCAACTGCATCAATGTGATGAAGGTGTATAGATGACATCTCAAAGTTTCATAATGAGCATTTTGTACGAGACTTGTAGTACTTCAATTTGGCCATGTCAGATTTCAAAACAAGCATTTTGTGTGACACCTCCTCTGTAGAAGTATGTACAGCTGTCCCAACGAAATCAAGCAACTGCACATTGTCAAGCTTAGTGTTGAAAAAGGAACAACTTTGCGAGGTCTCCAAAAATGAAGGTTGAAGGTGTGAAAACCAAGCAATTCTGCAAGACTTCCCACGTGAAGGAAGAGAACCGAGAACGCACCAAGCTTCGGAGCACCGTGCCAGGCGGGGACCGTCCCGAGAACGTCCGGAGACCGTTCCGACGGGCGGAAGACCTCCAAGAACGCCTTATATACCTGTTTGCGTTGTTTGACCTAAACTTGTTCAAATCACATGTTAAAGTCCTTCATACCATGGTATGATTCATACATATTCATACCATATTTACGCTACTGTTACTGTGGAACTCATTTACGTTACTGTTACGTTTGTGATGTTGCTGTTCCATGCGGTTTGGTGAGGCCTGGGTGAAGCGTGTTTTGTTCGTGATTGGGACGGGAACATTCTGTGTAAATGCAGCATGTCGCTGGTGAGCCGATTGAGAGTCAACCAAGCATCAGTAAGTCGTGTCACATTCTTTGCATCCAGCCGCACTATGCCATTGGGGAACCGGAAACATGCGTGTGTAAATGCCACATGTCTCTTGTGAGCGGTAGTGTCACACTGGTGCATCTAGTCTGTGGGACACGGTGTAGCAAAATTACATCAGTGGTGTGGATGCCTTTGTGTGAACAGTCTGTATGAGGATATTAACACTTCATTATCGTGATAAGCATCCTTGTTCATAATGTGAACACCACACACATCATCATGATATTCAGGATCATCATCATCATCATCATCCTACTTCTTGACAGCAACATCACACACGCCATCACAAATCACATCGTGAGACCATTCTTCATCATATATTGTGTTTATGTCTTTGGACGTCGATTTATGTTAGATTCTTTCTCATCGTCTTACTCCTGCGATGCTTTTGGGCCAGCCTATCGTCTAGTTCCTTTCACTTGACAATGTGTTGATTCCTCTCTTCCTTCCTGTCATGTGTTAGCAACTGTTTTAATCAAGGTGCGGCCAACTTGTAAGGGTCCACTGCCACACTCATCAGATTGCCGAAGAGGCCACACCTAATCTGTGGTGGATAGAGCTCCACATCTCAATCGCTTGCTGCAAAAAATGTATCTGGGAGGCACACGCAAAGTAGATCATCATCATCTTCTCTCGGCCGAATTGCCTTGTCTGAAGAAAGTGTTGGAAGAGGCACCACTGCTGTATGGCTACATGTTTCACAGACAAATTGCTGGGCCTCTTCATGCCAAAGCCCATGCGAAGCTGAAAGAATACCTCATCTTTGGAGACCCCCTGGTGTCAGGTGTGTCAACTGCTTGGAAAAAAACTATCTGACGTTACGACAATTTAGGCTCGAAGCATTAAAGAGCAGGTGAGTCAAGTTTGCATGCAGCCTAGGCTGGTCACTCAAGCAGGTGTCAAGGACATCAAGGTGGCAAAGGCGATCATGAGAGAAGACAAATGTCCGTTTTTGATAGTACTTTTCTTGTCTCCGTCACATCCGGAACCCTATCCTCAGTGAGCAGCATCACTGGAGTCACAAGACGCCAAATCTGGCCCCTTGCTAATGCCTTGGGGCAGGCATGCGATCGACTGGAATAGCTGCGAAAAGCATGTGATCCACTCAGAAAGCCAAGCATTTCGCTGGACCCCAAGAGGCACCCAGCTGGTAGAGCACACATGGCCTTAGTGTATTCTTGGCGTTACTACTAGGAGCACGGACGCTACTAGGTAGGAGCAAGGACGCTACAAACGTAGCTCCTGGCTTTTCTCGAAACAAATGGAAAGCACCCATACCTTGCTCGGTGCCCCAGCGTAGGATTTGCTCGGTTGTGGCCGAGCCACA